TTTAATTACCAAAACATCGTTATCTTAATCATTTAACATATGCTCTACTGCTGTATCAAATCGACGAATCGTCTTTTTTCCTCGTCAGCCGTTGTCAGGCAGGATAGGGATTTACATCAGGCAGTAGTATACAGACTGGGGAACGTTAAGTCGCTGTTTTACATATCAGGTTAAACAGCTGCTGTAGATACAGGTTTGGATTTTCCTGACATCATTGATATTCTCTAATGTGTACACAAATAATCTGTGAACGTAAAAAACTCAATTTATAAAAAATAAAAAATAATAACATTTGTTTCCTTTAATTTTGTTATTAAATATATAAAAATGAGTTGAAATGCACCTGACTTGATAGGTTAAACTTACCACGTTAATAAGTCAACATCTAAATATCCGGAAGTTGATATCTATCTTTTCCTGTTAGGCTGTCTGCTACAAAATCGTAGTCGCCTAATTTCTGCTAAGCCATTAAAATTTGGCTGTGAACAGGAAGTACATACAAGTACAGAAAAATAAAAACCACAACAAGACATTTCATATCTTGTGTGAAACATTGGAACCCCACGACCCCTTCAACCTATGGGAACTGACCTAAATCACTAGGATGTGGAGAGTCTATTGTCAGCAATCAGGGGGGAAGGGTTAACCTAATATAGATACCATTATCAGGAACCTAAAATAACCTAATCTGAGAATTGTATTCCACGTTTAAGTGTCAATTAGCTATTAAAGGAAATGTTGGTATTATATATTAAGGTCAATGCAACCCAGCTTTCTGTAGATAAAACAGTAGAGCTATTATAGAAGAACAACATCATGTTTTTTATTTATAAAAAACATAAAAATAATCATGCATGTAAGAAAATACATTTGCCTGTTAACATTTCTGCTAGCTGGTAACAGTGGGTTTGTTTATGTGATCACTGAGGAGACAGACATTGTTAAATTATATTACATGTAGTCCACATATATACTACAGGCCAATCGGCTGTGATCACTCCACACAGTTCAATCAATATTATCTCCAGCTTTCCGCCACCACCATATTTGATGTGGAGCAAATCTATTTTTAAGTCCTTTTAGACTTGCCGATATTGTATTTCCTGTTTTGCAAGGTGGTTTAGGTATAAGTTAGAAGAGACAAATATGGCTGGCTTTGGAGCCTTTTGTTCTGGTGGCAGCTGTCCTTAGCTATTGACTGGCTCATGTAACAGTAGAATAAGCCATGGAGGAGTTTACACTGTTGGCCAACTAGCCATCAAGAATAGGAGGTTGACATGAGAGGCCACTGATGAGGAAATAGGAATGCTACCCATATTGTGACCCTGACAATACCGAGGAAGTACAATAATAACCTACCTTTGATATAATTTTATCACTATTTTGATGTAAATAAGAACTCTATAGACATGTATACACGTCACTGATTGGTAGAGCAAAAAAATAAAGACATCAATTTAATCCTACATGCAAGTAAAATAAAATCTATCTATTTTTTTCTATACAAGATACAATGCTGAAGGCGAAAAATATGATTTGTCCAAATAAAAGTAAATATTTGTTTTACATTTTTTTTTTAATTGATATAATTAAACTTTAAGGATTTAAAAGGAACGACTTCCTTTTTAAATAGTCGAATGTGGGAGACGAATGAGCTGTACCAGGTCAGGTGTGTTAAAGTGTGATACGACCATCTGCTCTATGGTAATGAGTACAGACCCACTGTCCTCAGGTGGTTTCTGGGAGATCCTGTCTCCCCTTTTGTACAGCTTAAATCACCTAGAATAGTGGTATAACTACACAACCTGCCAGCCATCTAAATCNTTTCCGTTCTTATTTATTTCATTTTTTTTTCAACTGATTTCCTTATTATCAGCAAATACTTCCTCATTATTACAAGTAAGCATTTCCTTACACTAGTAAGCATTTCCTTACACCAATGGTAATTTTCTTATGTAGGTTTGCCTTTATGCGAAACTAAAAAATTCCTGATATTTCTGAAAAATATAGGCCTTTAAGTTTGATCAAGAATATTTGATCCAGTTTTGATATTTTCTCTGCCTGTATGACTAGCTGACATTGCAGGGTACATGCTACTTGTGATTTGTATTACAGTAATATATAATCAGTACCACAGGTATGGTCAGTATAATCAATAATAAAGGTATATGATCTATATTGTATACTATATGGTCAATACCACAGTCCACAGGTATGGTCAATATAATCAATACCACAGTCCACAGGTATGGTCAATATAATCAATACCACAGTCCACAGGTATGGTCAATATAATCAATACCACAGTCCACAGGTATAGTCAATATAATCAATACCACAGTCCACAAGTATAGTCAATATAATCAATACCACAGTCCACAGGTATGGTTAATATAATCAATACCACAGTCCACAGGTATAGTCAATATAATCAATACAACAGTCCACAGGTATAGTCAATATAATCAATACCACAGTCCACAGTTATAGTTAATATAATCAGTACCACAGTCCACAGATATGGTCAATATAATCAATACCACAGTCCATAGGTATGGTCAATATAATCAATACCACAGTCCATAGGTATGGTCAATATAATCAATACCACAGGCCACAGGTATGGTCAATATAATCAATACCTGTGGACTGTGGTATTGATTATATTCACCATACCTGTGGACTGTGGTATTGATTATATTGACTATACGTGTGGACTGTGGTATTGATTATATTAACCATCCCTGTGGACTGTGGTATTGATTATATTGACAATACCTGTGGACTGTGGGATTGATTATATTGACTATACTTGTGGCCTGTGGGATTGATTATATTGACCATACCTGTGGACTGGTATTGATTATATTGACAATACCTGTGGACTGTGGGATTGATTATATTGACTATACTTGTGGCCTGTGGTATTGATTATATTGACCATACCTGTGGACTGTGGTATAGTCAATATAATCAATACCACAGTCCACAGGTATGGTCAATATAATCAATACCACAGGCCACAAGTATAGTCAATATAATCAATACCACAGTCCACAGGTATGGTCAATATAATCAATACCACAGTCCACAAGTATAGTCAATATTGACCTTAAACATCTGCATCATAAACTCCTTTATGCTGCTACTATATAAACTGGCTTACACTACTACTACTACATCAGAGACACAATTTACCATGCCATAATCTACTGACCGTATAAACTACCAGTATCAATCATTTCAATCTTGTGTGATATAATATTAAAGTGGTGTAATATCAGGAAACAGAGTCGGTAAGAATCAACTAAATACACAGCACACAGCCTGAATCTTATCTCGTTTCAGTATCCAACCTTCAACTTGCTACCCTATAGCCAATATCTGTATTATTACACATTTGTCTGTGATAAGATAACAGGAAGACATCCCATATGGCAAGGCAATGCCTGATAACAACCCACTTTAAATAGTCTCGCTTGCCTTTACTAAATCAAATGTCATATATAATCTACATGTTTATGTGTGAATGACAATTTTAATCATACATTTTATCGCTATATTCTGCTTCTTTCTCGACTCAATTTAATAAATGAAACTATGGCATTGTGGAAATGTCCTGTTTGAAGGTTTTTTGAGTAAGTGGTAGAGGTATTTTTATAGCAACAGATGTAACTTGAATGTTGCTAAGATAACATTTTTGGCAAAACAGCTGATAAAACACTTCCGGAATAATTCGTATCAGACGTATAGAGGTACTTGTATGGACAAGTAAATGTTGGTTGAATGTCTGACATCATGCTTTTATTATATCATCATGTCCTATTATTCAAAATGCCACAGATTTTTTCTATAGATTATTTAACAATATTAGCAATTGTGTATTATGATATTTTGTACCTATAAAATAAATCTTCTTCCTTTTAGTTGCGGAACAAAACTCCTTGAACAACATGTTAAAACATATTGTCATATCCTTGAAATGAAAATTTTATAAACTTCCTTATGTACCTACTTTAGGGTTTAATCCCTTGCTAAAAAGTGAAATCAATCTTGTGACCCACTTAAACAGTTTCCAAATTGTTTTATGCAAACGATTGTGCAAGTCATGCATATGAATGTTTTGCCATTCTTTCCACAAGACTGGTTTTAAATGACAAATTTTAAATCTATACAAATAGGTGTGAGAGGGGGTGTATTCACTATTTGATTACGTAATTCACCTCAGATTTAATCATTATTCATTTCCTATTACACTCCTCCCTACCATTAGGTACAGGTTGGTTGGTATTACGTTTCCAACGTAAACCAGATTTTTATAATATGTGGCGTCACACCTTGATATCAAACACGGAGCTGAGTTACATCGTGGCTTGCAGGTTAAACTAACTTGGTTAACTTCATCATAATGACTTGTATTTACACGTGTTGTCGATTATAATACACTTATATACACACCCAAATTACTTAAACACTTATTTAATATACACAAGTTAACAAATATCGATACAAAATTATAAAACGCATAACAATAAGTAAAACATAGAAGTTGTTGTAAAAAGGTTGTATAACAATTATACCAGATTTACATAAACTTGTGTGGCTTTAAATAATTAAATTACAAGTTTAAGTACAGAAGTTATGAAACTTCTCAGCCATAGTATGGACCCCCACGGTATAGGTATCTATGGTAGATACATGGCGATCGCAGTCAAACATGTTACATCACGAAGACTTATAAACATGTCCTTCTTGTTACAAAGGACCAAACTAAGTCACACTAACAATTCATCTTACAATAACTGTCACCTAATAGACCTGTTAAAACTTCAATCGAACCTCGTTCATAACTAGATAAATGTGAAAATCGTCTCACAAAAAGGCACAATTTCTACTATAACGACACATATATTCAAACAAGCAAAACGTGATTCACAATCTCCTGGTGTGCTGTTTTAGTATTACCACAAGATTGTTTAGGAAGTAATTATAAAACTTACGATATCTTTTCATAAGATTTTTCTTGTATGTTCTGCCTCCTGGCTTGTTTTCGCCATCTACATCTCGTCTCGAATCCGATGTTAAATCTAGCCCTTGTTCTGAACAAGAGTCTACTGATTCTCGTCGGTATTTTCTAATAGACAAATCCAACACTGGTGTCGTGTCATATTCCATTCGTAATCCTTCTAAATGCATCATGTCGACTTTTTTGTAATTTTTTTCCACACAATCCACAAAATCTGACACTTGTTCAAATATACCGGTCCACTTACGAATCTATTTTTCTTTCACCAACAGTACAGGTTATAAATACCATAGATTGATTTGAACCGTAGAATTTCATTGTAACAAACAATTATGTAGTTTTTACACACATGTCACACGCCGTAGTGAGGATACAAGTCCACAGACTGGTAATGGTGACAGCAATACCAGAGTTACTCAGTACACTCACAGTACACACAACACCACATCTCTTCATATAGTCGTAATTAGTAATCATAAATCCAAAATTTTATAAAATGAATCACAATTTTTACGACTGTAAAAACAACTGTGACAAAAATGTGTCGCCTCACCACCAGTCAATGTAGCGGAATTGACACAGAAAATGGTGAGAAGGTGTTTTATGTTGTAATGGCCTAATAAATGTAACACATGATGTGGCTATACTGTAAGTCCACCACTGCCACCATGTCAACAGCAGAGGAATACAGCGATAGAAGACAACAAACGTTGCTGTAACCTTGTATACAGTACAGCGTGGCGTGTGTAGTAGTAGTGCTCCCCTTGGCTTCCACTGCCAATCTGGATAGGAAGTAGACTGTGTCACTGAACACACTCTACACAGGAAGTCACATCTCTGTGTGTGTACTGTGTACTGGTAGTAGTGGCTCGGCCTGGCCCTCTGGCTAGCTTTAACATAAGTCGGCTGCTCTTCAGTTTGTCAACTCAGGCCCTTTGTCACATGACCACAAAACTCCCAGGTCAGGACCCTTCTATTTAATTATTTCATGTAAATAGGAAATCTTTCGTAAGAATAAAACTTCTTTTTCATGTGTATGTATGTGTGTGTGACTATGTATTGAATATAATCTCAAAAGGAATACAGGTAGTTAGGCAGTCCACACAATACACCTCAGCCCAGGTAGAGGAAACAAATGTAAAATACACCTATGTACAGGTAGGAAATGAACAGGACTATTGAAATGCCTGGTAGGAAATCCTACGTTTTTTCTCCCCTCAGTGAACCTATTGATTACAAGAGCAGTGGACAGGCCTGTGTGTATTTATATTAAGCTGTTGGTTTGCTGATCAGGAAATGAAATCAGTAATAACCTTACAATAAACTTACAGAGCATGTTGTGAGTAGCCCAATTCAGTAGCCGACAATAACATTTATGGAAACTGGCCAACACATTAAACACGTCCATGGAAGCGGAAAAAACACCATTACTGAACAAATGTATGTTTAAAATTCACAGAATGTTGACCTTCCAGTCACAATTGTTTCTACTTTTTTTTTCTACAGCATATTAATTTAATCACATCAAAGTAACAGGCTACACCAATAGTCTCGACATTGTCCAATAAATTGACTTTGATCACTGAACAAAAAACAAAGAAAATTAATGGCATATTAAGATGCCGAATTCTTGCCAATTTTTTTTTACAGAATTTTTTATTTACAAACGTTTGGCGATCTGCAAATGCGAACACCTGCATGGAGACCAGCTGTTGCTCGGTAGTTAAGGAAATACTTTGTTTAGTTAAGGAAATACTCTGTTTAGTTAAGGAAATACTCTGTTTAGCATATCGTGTTCTTATAACACCCAACCAAACTTTGGCAAGATTTTTTTCCAAGACATGAAATTACTGGCGACCTTTACTAGGTTTTTGGTATTTGGTATACATTCAGCAATGAAATACTACATATATAAAGGCTTTAACTGGGGATAATTTCTATACCGGTATTTTTACATCTATTATTTTATTCAATGGAGCTAGACATAGCCAAATGTTAAAAGCATGTTCATGTTCACCACTATGAACAGTTTTCCCGGTAGTATATACTATTCAGATAAATTTCTTCAGGATTTTGTGTTTAATACCATAAACCTGTTTGGTAATCACCACACAGGTAAGTGTTTTCAAGTTCCCACCTTTTAAGGGAGACTGCAGTCCCACCCTGTGACCTTGGGACCTGTAGCTATACCACATACAGGATAGATTTAAATTATATGGACTGCTTCCAAATCTGACCACTTAGGTCAATGTTATATACACAGTGGCTAGCTAGGCCTGGAGGAGCTGTATACAAGTGGACAATTGTTGTAGGTACATAATGAGGAAATGACATATCACATGAGCTGCATTGGCCACCATAACAGGAATCTCAAACTCACAGGTAGACCTTATCAAGTCCACTGACTTCCCCTGTACTTCCTACAGGTGAGCCCAGAATCAATATTGATTCACTGATAGGCAGGCCATAGATACACAAGCCGCCCTGGCCTAGTTAGGTTCATACACAAAACCACACAATTCATTACGTTTTCTTTTAGAATTAAGCCAATCGAAACATTCAGACCTGGCTTTTTATTCCTTACAAAAGCAGCCTGGCTTTGTTTGGGACAGACATGAACTATTTACGCCAGACACTGGGGAGGAGGGGCTGTATCAGTAGTCCTGTGATGGTGACACTACTTTGGTTGACCTTGTTGTTTCCTTATCAGATTTGCAGGGGTCAGGTTATCAGGGGACACCCATCAAAGTTGGCATGTATCCCTAAACAACACTATAGTGACCTGTCTCATCACAAACCAGGGATCATCCACAACTACGTCTCAATCGTCTTCAATCTCAATTCATTGTTTCCATACACAGATCTGTATGTTGTCGGTGACAATGAATGAAAATCATCTCAGTTATTATATATGGCTTTGTGTATGCAGATAACCATAAAAAAAATTCTTTGAAATACGTAAGGTTATTACTACTAATAAAAAAATCATTCATACCTAAGCCCTCAGCTTTAACCCCCGTCCATATGTTACTGAATAAAACGGATATGTTGTGAGGATCACTGCTCTAAGTACATGCATTTTATATAAGACAGAAACCCTTCCCATGCAGCACTTATAGTGATCAGACCAGCAACATGGTGATCACGCTTGAAAGGATATACCGATCCAAACACAAACATGTGCCTGCAGTGACCCCCCACAGTAAGAATCAATGACATCCTTCCGACCTTGACTATCAATGACCTTGTGTTATTCAGTATGATATTGCATATCATTGACCATGATATGACCTTGCTGTGACCTTGTTATATTATTTCAGAGTTAGTGTTATGACCTTTCTGTGACCTTGCTATTTTATTTCAGAGTTAGTGTTATGACCTTGCTGTGACCTTGTTATATTATTGCAGTGCATGATCTTGACATGACCTTCCTATGACCTTGTCACGTTACTGCAGTGATCTTGATATGACATTTTAGTGGACTTATGTTACAATCTTGTAGGTCCTTACAATTTCATAACAGTGACCTAGTTGTAATCTTATTGTATGACGTTGTTATGGTGATGCAATTATCTTGGTGTGACCATATTATGACCTAGTTCTGACATGACCATGTTATGACCTTGCTTTCCCTTTGTCATGGTCAAGTCATAACCTAGTTATAACCATATTATGACCTTGCTCTCATTGTTCCATATAGGTACAGCAGACCTCCAATCGGATACATTAGGGTTTTACACAATAAGACTTTCAGGAACGTTTGTGTATGTGTGCTGGTAGTAAATTGACACACATCTAAACAGCACCTATTACACTGGGAGGTTTCCGCTGGGAAAGTGCGCCATACCAGATTGGTAAATAAATCAAACATCACAAGTCTGAGCATGAACTATCAACACTTACTCTTTACAAGTCATACCGAATTTTCCCCGTCACATTGCGTAATTGAGTATTATGATTATTTTTCCTTCTGTAACAATTCCCAGTGTTGGGTGTTCAGTGTTACCGAGACATCTTGCTGTGAGCTGGGGTCTGATTATTACAACAGGGATGATGATTTTTACTGCAGAATTCCTCATTCCTTCTTAAGTTATCAGTCAAAATACATATCTCCAGAAAAAAACTTAAGCACTACACGATTAAATCTGTGGCGTGTGATTTACTCGTCCAACTTGTAACCACATGGAAACCGTCTGGCTACCTCGACTGGTACATCTGTTACATCATACAAATTACCAACAGATCAACGATAGTGTTTTTGTTAAATTTAAATGATCTTGCGAGGGAATCTATCAACATTATTTGGTGCCACTATGATTTTACTGCATATTAGACGTGTGGTTTATCCAACTAGACATGTCGCTGCACCAATACATCATGCAAATTTTCACATTCCAGACTTTGGTCCTTTGAACATTTCCTGGCAGCCAACTTCTCTTATCATTTATAACATAACCTATCCAACAAGATAAATTGATATCACTATATACAAATAAATTATAAATCCCATTATCATTTCTCTGAAGCACCTGTTTGGTAGTTCAAACAATTAAAATGCAACCAGCTCAACAATGTATAGTACAACAAAAAATTGGATGACAAATAAGTTGTTTCAGGGAAATGAATGTTGATGTCTATAAATATACAAACATATCTTAGCTTTCCACTAATCCTCTTCAATCAAATGTGAGGAGGTATAAAGTTATGGAGGGGCTATGAGTAAGGAGAAATCTGTCTCCCGTTTAATGAGTAATAATGGATGTAATTTGTTGAGCAATGAAACCGACTGTAATTTGTTAACCTACTACGGCTCAACAGGTCTGGTGTTTACATGGGTACAGTACACTGTACCACGGCTCAACAGGTCTGGTGTTTACATGGGTACAGTACACTGTACCACGGCTCAACAGGTCTGGTGTTTACATGGGTACAGTACACTGTACCACAGCTCAACAGGTCTGGTGTTTACATGGGTACAGTACACTGTACCACGGCTCAACAGGTCTGGTGTTTACATGGGTACAGTACACTGTACCACAGCTCAACAGGTCTGGTGTTTACATGGGTACAGTACACTGTACCACACACTGTACAATGGAGCACTATTTTATCCCCACATACTTCAAACTCAAGTGTCACATGCAGGGCTGAGACATGTGGATGGGCTAACAATCACAGGCCTGTGTACAGACACAGGCTCTGTGGCTTACTCCAGGCTAGCTTCACCACTCATTGGTACTGAACTCATCTACATGTCGTCCACAGAGGGCAGCTTAGTCTTGGGGGAGATATACTTTACTCATTTCATCTCATAACATCACTAGTCAAAATGTTACACATTCATCAATTAAATCTTAAAGATCAGGATTCTAACAAGACAATGTGTAAAGGGAGATAATCCATACCAACACATTTCTAAATATTTTTTTATTTCCTGTTGTTTTACATGTAGACAAACATTCAAAGCATTGATGATAAAAGAGAAAAAGTCAATTTTAATACTTGATTTATTCAATAGAAAGATCCTCTCATAGAGAAGCATAACATTTACTGTAAAACCAGTCAGGCCAGGTTTTAATCTTTCAACAAGGAGCTATAATTTTATGTAAAAGAAGTATACATGACACCACTCAAGTTTTGCATTAAATGTGAATATGTAAAAAAACTGTCGGGCTATTTCAGTATTCACAAGACAAATACTGAAACAGGAAGATAGCAGTTTCTATTTCACAGCCAACTGAGCACATCTGACCCAGACAGATTAAGGAATGCATGTAACACCAGCAGATGATGAATTTCAAATCACCTGTCCTCCAGTGAACAAAGACTGCGAACCTGACAGTGGAAGTGCGTGTCAATATGATGCAGTGTTAGAGCTGCTGTGCCCTGGGGTAGGGCTCCACCCCGAGG